TTACCCGAGGAATTATATGTGGATTTATTGAAAACATTTTTAAACTTACATCCTGACAGCAAGCCTATTGATAAGTCGAAACCTCGTAATTTTCATAAACAAAAAAATGTTGATTCAAAAATCATTACATCTCAACATGCTGATTTAATCTCGAAATGGATTGATGAATTAGATATTACAGATAATTTGAATACATCATATAAATTTAAATTAATATTTCGTGGATCTCGTGATGGGTTTGATCCTAATAAATTCCATGAGATTTGTGATAATCAGTCTCGTACCGTGACAGTAATTAAAGTGAAAAATAGTAACGAAATTCTTGGAGGGTATAATCCTATTGATTGGTATGATGATTATTATCTTACCAAGAGTACCAAGGATAGTTTTATATTCTCTTTTGAAAATGTTGATAATATTGAAAAACATATTTTAAGTCGTGTAAAGAATGAAGATGGAGCTATATGTTATGCAAGTGATTGCGGTGCGTACTTTGATAACGACCTTGTTATGTATGGATGTAATTTTTATGATGATAGTTATTGTCAAAAAAGTTCTTATGAAAAACAAATCAGAAACACTGAAAAAAAATTTTCTGTAGAAGAATTTGAAGTCTTTCAAATCAAAAAATGGTAATTATTCTAACTGTTATGTTTTGCAAATATAATAAATAAAATGTTACTTTTTTCAAATATATTACTAAAGTTATATATGAATGATTGTAAAGAAATATTGACGGCTGTGTAAATAAAAAAATGGGATTAAAAATTATATCATATATCGGATAAGCATGTACAGAGTACAATAGCTTATCAAAAAAACGTACGATCAAGACCATCAATCCTATAGGAAATATGTTTAAATTTAATAACCTTTTCTTTTGTTTTTTCACACAAATTTTCTTTAAGTTTATATTAAAGGGAATAGATACGTTAGGATCAAGTGATGGAAATGGACCATTACGCTAGTAGATGAAATCTCTTATACGAAGAACTTGTAATTCATTTTTTGGATTTTCTTTTTTTTTTAAAAAAAAAAAAAAAAAA